GCATTGAGCTTTTTAATAGTACCTCAACACTGAGCGCAATATTGGTGCAATTTCATATGTGAGCAGTCATATCTACATATACATATGCATATTTTGTGGTACATATGTACATTAGACTGATTAAAAAAAAAAAAAATCGACTAATGTTTTTTTTTAATTCCCTATTCAATCCCTTGGGGGGATGTCAAAAGATGCCTGTTAAAAGCGTAACCCTTAATATTAAGTTTAAAAAAATGTCGCTCCTCGCGTATTTCTATTTTCCATATAAATTACTTAGAAAAAAAAATGTTTTCAACTTTGGAATTTGTTTTCTCGTCTTTGAATTCTCGCATATATGTAGTACTTCTATATTGCTAGTAAGTACATTCCCCAACATCAGAGTGTCGATATGTTCAAAAAAGAAAGAGAGATCCGATAAGAGAATGTACTCAAACTGACATTTTTACTTTTCAAAATTCAGGAGCGGTTTAACGAATTCTTATTGAAAAATAATTCACACGAAAAATTAACAAAGAATACAATATTTGTATATATGTATGTATGAGAAACACTGCAGCCGCTGTGGTGGCAGAGGATAAGGGTACCAGTTACTAAAGGACTTGGCATCAGTTGGCGCCAATAAGCCCAGAACAGAAACGAACGATTCGGCCAACTATCATATGCCACACAGCTTCATGTGTAAATAAGTTTTGTCTTATGGCGATTTCTTTTCTACAAAAACTGTTGCCTTTTCAATGCCCTCTCTTTAGTATTTGTGCGTAGAGGGCACTGAGAAGGCAACATATTTCGGTAGAAAAGAAAACGCCATTAGTTAGGAAAAACACCTCCTAATTTAGGATTTTTTTTTCAAAACTTACTTCTTGAAGCAGAAATACTCTAGGACCTAGAGTTTAGATGAACAAAAATCTGACGGAGAGTAAATATTTAGAAAATGAAAGCAAATTTTCGCCGAAATGCTGATTCAGAATAAGAAAATAGGGGCAAAGTTTAATGCTTCGATTCCGAATTTCGAATTATGGCCCGTCCATGCGTTCTTCAAGTTGTGAAGTCAACTCCGCACAGGTGCAAAGACAGTCTAAGAGCGTTTATGCATCAAAATTTAATTTTGAACAAAATTCGTTTGAGTTAACTGCGGTTTGAAGGAAACATGAGACCGTAAATTTTTTTTTGTTTGTTTAATTATCTGAACCGCCCCTGTTATGATATGGCACTTCATTCTATGTAGTAGTTTACAAATATACACCCACTGGGAAAATAGGTAAGCACCTTGCGAGGTAAGCCATGTTTTGTTTCAGTTTTTAGTACCAAAATTGTCATCATGGCCAATGTCATCTACTAGTAAAGGGCAAAATGAACACCTCCGAAGACACATAACGTTGTCAGTTGCAAAATAACGTGCAGCCGAAGTTATTTCCTAGCACCGAACTACTCCGAGCGACTGCTCTGCATTACTAGTAACTTACTTTGTAAAGCGGCTCAGAAGTATGTCTGATACCAAATGTACATTCTAAATTCCTACTTACATAAGGCGACCATGCCTTTGTAAAAGTAAGGGACGTTCGGCAGGGAAATGGTAATGACTGCCAGGTGAAGAGTAAGTTGCTAATAAGGTATTATTACGTGCTCCTAATTCCCACTGGGACACGTATACTTCTACAATCACAAAAATTTTCATAGGCCGTCTTTCTTTGATTTCGAATTGAAAACACATTGTGATCATATTGTACTAGCAATCATGATAAAAATATAGTAAGGTAGAACCGCTGAGAGTCACTTTTAAAATTCTTGAAGTTTCCAAACAATTTAATTTTTAAATTTACTCACAAACTCACACACACATTTTCATTTTCAATCTCAAGCAACAACAATTTCGAACAATTTCAATTTTTTGTTTTCACTTTTATATGATTTTAAAATGTTGGCAAACTTCAAAAAAAAATCATGGCCGACAAATTGAGAGAACGGTTATACCTTGCTATGTTTTTATCATGCTAGCAATATAGAAGTATTACATATATGAATTCTCGTAATAAATGAAAAGTGCGATACATATTTTTGTAGGGAATTAGATGCTCTATAAAAAAGAATTAAATTTAGTCATTATTATAGTTTTTCTCCTATTTTAGGTAAAATAATTAAAATCAATCATTTTTAATGAAAAAATTTTCAAACATAACTCAACACAATAGAAAGGTTTTTAATTAAATTTTCCCCGAAATTCGGGGTTTTTAGTAAAATTAATTTGCAGGACTTATTAAACTTTACAATTTAAATTTTTTAATGACTTATTTTTTGGGTAGTTGAAAATAACTTTAATTATTGTACCTATTATTAGAAAAACTCTAATAATAATATAAATTTAAATTGAAGTTTAAATAACCGTTAAACTAGTAGGTTTATCAAAAAATTATGTCGGACGTTTTTTATAGAGCGATGCGCGAACTTTTAAAGTTAATATTAAGGGTTGCGCCTTTAACAGGCATATAAAAAAAGTTTTTGTAAATTTTTTTTTTGAATTAGTCTAACTCCAAACATTAGCTGAATTTGGGGTGGTGGTAATTAGGTAAAAATTTAGTAAAACAATGTATGTAATTATTTTCGTCAGAAATTATTTTTGTTGACCAGACATTAAAAAGGTTTTTCAATATAGAGCCAAATTAAAAAACAAACAAGGAAAGTGCGGTCTTCGGCTATGCGGCATTTTTAAGCAGTTGTTTGATAGTTACATATTACGATAAATCAGTGGCGCTCAGAGCGGGGACAGGGTCAATTCGCCCCGGGCTCCGATTTCGGGCAACTGCGCGCGGGCTTTTGAAATTACTTTTGTTTGCCTGCTTCTGGCAAAAAGCGTTGAGAATTAACTGTCCCTTTCAAGGATACACATTCGTGTATATATACGCTATATTGAGGTAAAATGCTTTTATGGAAACATTGAACAATTTTACAAAATATTTACTCTCAGTCCAATGAGATGGAAAATACTGGTGGAAACGTCAAACCTTTCCCACCGTGGAATTTCCGTTATCAGATAGTGGATCAGGGTTGAAACTGTCCGCCCGTTAACTAAAAACGTGCCTTGAATCTGTGGAAAAATGGTCCTCAAGTGGTTTGACCCCCCAAGATTCAAGCCCATGTTATGTTTTCGCTCAATAGTATGCAATCTTTTGATTTCATATTAATGACAAACATTTAGTATAAACAGCTGCATAGCCTTGACAGTTAAAACCACATTCCTAAACCTTCTTAACTAACTTAACTGGAAGTGGAATAACGCAGTAGTTGTCAACTGTTGTCTGTGAATTACAGCGCTTCAGAGTTTCCTGGTTAATACTATTGACTGAAGCTACAAACGACCGACGACTGGAATCGACCCCGCCATTCGCGCCAACTACCGCGGGGTCAGCCTTCTAAGCATATGTTACAAGGTCTTATCATACGTGTGGCTTTAGACCGGAAAAATCCTCCATAGACCAGGTATTCACAATTCGCCAAATCTTGGAAAAGACCTGAGAGAAAAGGATCGACACTCACCGACTATTTGTCGAGTTCAAAGGCGCTCTCGATAGCACTAAAAGCAGTTGCCTATACGCCGCGATGTCTGAATTCATATTCATATACGTTCTCTGGTAGTAGTTGCGATCCCGTACGAGTCCGGACGAGTCAGAATCAGTCAGATTTTTACTGGAAATCGATCCCATACTCGGTTCTATGAATATTGAGAGCCAGTATTTTAGTGCACGACCGTGGTTTAAACTAAGTTTAAACGCCCGATCTGGCTGGTTTTAACTAAGATCAGCCAATCAAATGTCAGCCAGCTGTTCAATTTAAACTCAGTTTACTTAATCTAAGTTTAAACTGGCACTGAAAAACTGGCCCTGAAAGGACAAAAAAGAGTGTAAATAAGATCCTCTGTCTGTCAGAAGTTACCAGTTTTAGTCCGCAGATTTTTTGCTGGTAAATTCTGGTAAATGTGTCAAACGATCAGCTGAAGTGTGTTTGGCCACCAAATTGTAAACAAAAGAAAAGTGCAGTCTAATGCATGTTGTAAAATATTTAATTACTGGTTTAAGTGGATTCTAATGAATTTGAAAGTATTTTTGGTTATTTACGTGTGTGAACTGAGTATGTTTACATACAAAATAGCTAAAAATTTACCACAATTTTTTACCAGAAAACGATCACGTAATTTTCAATGTTACTCTCTCGCTCTGAGCGAATTTTTATTTTTTGACAGTTTTACTAGTTTTAGTCCGAGGAATAAGAGATTGCACCTAATGCTTAGCACCGTCAGTGTTTCGGACACAATCAGCTCATTTGTGCCGGTCACCACTGAACGTACTTTAAAAGTTTGCCGTTTCCCGTAAAAGAAAGATTTTTACGTACGCTTCAACAAAGTATTTCTAAATATATATTCAGCCTTATCATGAGTTGTTTAATTTTTCCCGAACCGGTTCACTTTTCACTTTTGGTTTCCATAGTTTTACTATGGGCGGATGACAAATTTTCGGGTGATTTTTTTTTCAGGCGAAACTCAGCATAAGGCAGATTAAGGGCCGGTTACTCAATGTCTGGTTAACACTTATCTCCGGTTAAACATTGTTATCGACGTATTCGACTCCATTCATATAACAGGGAGTCGGTAACGTCGATAACAAAATTTAACCAGAGGTTAGTGTTAACCAGACTTTGAGTAACCGGCCCCAAGTATTGTTAAACAGCAAAGGGATTAAGTTTTCAATAAATTTTTTTATTAATCGATATTGATAAATTTGATCTGTAGTTTATTACGTTAATCCGTATATGAATTTCCAAAAAGTTCTATTTCTTTATTGCTTCTCTAATGACTTTTTAATTTAAGCCTTTTAGGTTACAAAAAGTTACGGTACATCATACCTAATTTGCAGAAACGCACTGCTTTGGTATTTGACATCCGGTAACTCAGGCAAATTTTCAGTGTATGGCAGCGTTAAAGTTCACTGAAGTAAACAGCTGATTTTGACATTCGCATAAATTGACGTACCGCCGTTTATCAAATGTAGCAACAAAAAAACTTTGAAAAAACTTCTGACGTGTACATCAATAATTGAAGATTTCTTGTTTAATCCTCTCTAGCAACTTGAGCGTTTTATTCTTTTTTTCTATTTAAACATAAGTCAAGTGCAAAGAAAGGACCAATTTGCTTCATATTCCCGCAGTGTAGCAACTACATCGAAATGATAATACCAGAGAAAAGCCGCTTTCTTATTTACTCCATAAGTATTTTCGTGTGTTACTTTTTATTCGGAATAGTTCAAGAGAAAATCACCCGTGGACGTTATGGTGACGAACCGAACGAAGATGGCAAAAAGGGCGAGCGTTTCACCTATGTGCTGGCACTAGTTTGGGTACAATGCTTTTGTAATTTCGTCTTTGCAAAAGGTAAAAGTGCTGCAAGACTTTAGCTACTCAGCATACATGCATACACTAATTGAACATCAATTAATGAATTAATTTATATACATATATCGCAGGTATGTTATGGGCTAAAAGGGCAAAGAAAGAGGATCAAACACATACCGGTTACTATGCTGTGAGCGCACTCACATACTTATTGGCCATGGTGTCGTCAAATATGGCGCTCCGTTGGGTGCCATACCCTACGCAGGTGGTTGGCAAGTCAGCAAAACCAATACCGGTTATGATTTTAGGCGTTTTACTTAGTCACAAATCCTATTCCTGGGTGCGTTATGCTTGTGTAACATCCATAGTTGTTGGCGTGGTGCTGTTTATGTACAAGGAGAGTCAAATTGCGCACTTGCCCAAAGAAACAACCGGCTTAGGTGAAATCTTGCTCTTCCTAAGTTTAGCCATGGATGGTTTGACCGGCGCAGTGCAGGAAAGAATGCGCGCTTCAAGTGCACCTTCGGGACAACAAATGATGTTGGCTATGAATTTCTGGAGTACTATTATGGTTAGCTTTGCTGCAATACTGTCGGGTAAGTGAAGTGAAATCATTAAACTTACAACACATAGTTAACTAAATCTTCGTTCGTGTACAAATACGAAATTTCCTTTAATTGTAGGCGAAGCCAAAGAATTCTTCCACTTTGCATCGCGACATCCTGAGCTTTGGAGCCACTTGGCAATGCTAGCATTTTGCGGTGCTCTTGGTCAGCTATTCATCTTTCTTATGGTGGCCAATTTTGGACCTCTAGCCTGCTCTGTGGTGACAACAACGCGTAAATTCTTTACTGTACTCTGCTCCGTAGTGCTCTTTGGAAATGTACTGATACCAAGACAATGGTTTGGTGCGATATTAGTGTTCGCTGCGCTCTTCTTTGATATGTTCTATGGCAAAGGCAGTGATAAAAAGGCTGCAGCAGCAGCGAAAAAATCAGAAGGTGATCTTGCGGAGGACAAGAAAAAATTGATATCATAGAATTTAAAGGAAGTAGTATAATTTTAGGCAACTTAAGCAAATTTCAACATAGAATTATCAATGATACTATTGTTTTCCAAGTACGATGTATGTAGCTTCAGATATGGTATGCTAAAGCGCTTATGTCTGTAGTAAATTATATAACATAGTAGAGTAACTCAATTTGAATTTTTTTATTCAGTGATTTCTATATCAATTTATGTTTAACAGCATATATTTATAAATGATATGCAATTTTTATTAGAGCATAATTATATGTAGTGCTAATATACATATTTCTTTTAATTCCAAGCCTTTAAATTACAATATTTTCATTGTACATAATGTGACTGTCTACCTACTAAGTATCTTATACAAGTAGAAAAATAAAGCAGAATTTATTTTCTAGATCGAACTCATGTTATGAATATTAATAAGGACCACACATTTAAGTATATACATATGTATTTACGCATGCATGCCTGACGTATGTCATGGATCGATGGTTCCTCATTCTTCAAGTAATAATTGAAAACGTAATAACTGCAAAATAGTTGCCGACGGTTTGGGAGATTCCTCGTCGGTTTTCTCCAATATGTTGGCCGTGAAAGCCAAAAAAATGTGTTGCCCATAAAAGTACATAAATGCAAATTGCATCTGCGAAGAAGTTGAATTAAAAAAGCACTCCTTCTGCCTCCATATGCTAATTATTGCTGGAGTAATAGACGGGTTCACTGCAATTAGATGAATGAACGCCACGTTTGTGTTCGTTCTTGTGGTACCTCTTCAATAATTATGTGTGTATGCCAGTAGAGGACATAGATGTGCCTCAGGATTTATCAGTGAAAATCATTCTCGTGTAGCGAACGAGTTTGGCTGCCGATATTTACATTTGATCAGTTGAATGCCATAACTTCAAGAAATTTGGAAACAATTGTGCACTTTGCCAGTGTCAGTTGCTAGTGCTCAGCGTTGTAGTTTTGGTTGCAGCGGTTATTTAATCATCCTTAGCATCAGTTAACATGCAGTTTCGTCTGACCGCACCTAAGGAAGAGGGTTGTTAATTGAGTGGGTTTTGAAGGGGGCATGTAAAGAGGTGGTTAATATCATGCGGAGACTCATACATGGCAAGTACAATATCAAAACCCGCAGTAACGTGGGTCTTGCGAGGCAGCTGGAGCTCTTCCTCTGCAATAGGTGGTGGTGGATCTCCTACAACGCCATTCCTGAGGCGAGGTTTTGTGAAAGTGGTGATGGCCTCTCTATGTATGCCGTTTAATGCCTGTCTATACAGCGTCGAGTGCAGTGATCGTTGTATACCGTCCTGGATCTCGACCTTCAGTTCGGGTATTTCACAGTCGGAATTCTTGTTCCATCGACGTGAATTCCCAACTGTCAGATAGTGAAGATGGTTGCCATAGATTTGGTAGGGGCGAGGGATAGGTTCCTTACGGTGAAGAATCGAGCTAGTTCGAATAACAATATCGAAAGTCGCCAGCATGGGTCAGTTCGCAAATGCAATACTGCGGCATTACTGCAAAAAATTTCTTAACTGTAGTTTATGGAAACATCCAGTATGCGTAAACACGGTAAAGTGTCGAATTGGAACTAAGTTGCGAAAATAAGGCAATTGTATGATCTACAGTTTATGAATAAAAGAGTTTAATTTTTTGAAGTAATACTGAGTGTTGCATTTACGAACTGACCCCTTTTAAAGAATAGCGAGACTCCCTAACTCTGACGGCTGGGGAGCTTCCAAATGTAGAACTTATAAAAACATAAGTGCGGAGAAGACAACACCCTTCGGGACCATTTGCATAATTTTCTTCGATTTTGAAGTTTTTTCTCGAAATATTACTGTCAATTGCCGACCACTCAGATGATTCGGGGTCCACCGTTTGAGTCCCGGCTTAAGTAGTGGGTTATATCTTCCTGACGTTCATAAATCAGGAACGAGTTGTGTAATAAAAAATACAAAAATTTGCTAATTGCTTGTTACTAGGGTGGCAATCTACTTAAACCAACATTGGGCGCTAATGGGTTAAACCATTCAACCAACAGCCGCTTCAGTCGAAAAGTTCTGGTGGATTACTGCCTAGTATTCGGACGAGCTGAAGTGTCGTGCTGTTGCGATGCTGTGGCGTCCATTTAACGTCCTGACAAGAGTGAAGAGCTACCAGCGCTCATTCACGAGCCAGGCTCGATATGAGGACTTACAAAATTATGCCTAGTATCTGAATAAGCACAAAAACTGGTTTTTGTGTTATAGTAAATTTTACACTAAAAACAAAACAATCTATATATTCGCAAAACTAGGCACCAATAATAGTAAGAATAGGTTTTTAATTTTTCACTCTGGCGTCAGGCTTTTCTTAAAATAACTTTGCAATTTCAAAGATACATATGATTAAAAAAAATTATTTATAAAACTCAGTGGAATGTAGAACAGCAGGGTATCATATAAAAGAGAAAATTCTGTAGAATAAAAAATTTAAAATTTTTCGGTGCATAATGACTAATAGGTACTGAAAATGTCCTTTTGAAATTGTATCCTTGAAAACTTGCAATGTATAGTTTTGAGACCATGTCCTTCAGTTTCGCTCTCCTAACTTTATAAGCTTAAAAAAAAATAAAACTATTTAAAAAAAAATTTTCAATAACTTTTCGTCCTTGTGTACAAATAGACTTATTTTTTTTTAATTCTACAGAATTTTATATTTCATTTGATACCCATTTTCTTATTTTACATCGCTGTTATTTTTTTTTTATTTTTTTAATTAATCTATATTTTTGAAATTTGGAAGTTCTTTTAAAAAATCGTGACGTCTCGCAGTGCTGGGGACCCATATAAAATGTGGGCAAAAATACAATTACGCACGGATTTAAATGAAAAACGGGAGGATATTGAATTCAAAAATGCAATTTGTTGTTTGATACCTTTCATCCATTCTTGTTAAAAAAATTTATTCAAATTATTTAATAAATTAAATGAATTAGATATTGCAATATGGATATCAATCGAAATTATTATTAAAAAAAAAAACACACTTAAAACCTTTCAAGTTGTGAAAGACAAACCGTTATTTTTTATATGTTACCCATGAACTAAACTCTCCACTTTATGGGAGAAGTCTCTTATCTCTCTGTATACGTATAACAGGAAATGAGCGAATCTCACCAAAAAGTCAGAATAGACAGAACGGCAAGACAAGTGTAGTGAATGAAAAAAGTTTCCACTGACATTTCGCCAGTCCACTGCAGACAGTGGAGCCGTTTTTCTGTCACATCCAAAGCGAATAACGTTGAGTACGTGTGTGTGTGTGTGTGTGTGTGCTTATTTGCAGTCAGTACAACAGTAACGAAATTGCTAGTAGTTTAAAAAAAATTTGCAAGCGATAAAGTAGTGCAAGCATAAATAAAATAAAAGAAGTAATATTTTTTGATGCGGCAGAAATAAAGCGAAACAAATGCACAATACACTAAATATCTACGAATGTGACGCAAAGAAGAAAGAAGGTGATTATAGCAAAACGCATATCAAAATAAAATACCTACAAAAACTTACAAGTTTAGTGAAGACGCAAATACACTGTAGAGGCGATAAGAAAAAAGAGGCTCAAGCTTGAGCTGAAGTTGCACATTGAAAATGCTGTGTATATGATTGTGTGCATGTGTGCATGTGCCTGACCTGCTTGTGGCCACCACACACTCGTTCGCTTGCTCCACTCTGCCGCCCAGCGCCAGTGCTCTGTTGGTGCCACAACCGAGTGTCAGTTGTTTGGTGAAAAATCATTAAAGTGTAATTTGTAAAATGTGAAGCAAAAGAATTCCCTGATGCAAAGATTGCCAGAGTGCAATGCGTAAATGGATTTCCTTAGTTATTTATTTAACATAAAAAGTAAATTATTTGCTTAATTAGTGTTGAAAATAACGCGCGACTCATCTTTGACGCCCCCAACGAGTTGTTTGCTAATTAACGAGATCACAACAAGAGCAAGTGTACGAGAAATAGAAAAACTAGTAACCGCTGCAAAAAGGTGATAAAAAATCAAAAAAATATGTAGCAAAAATCAGCGTTCTTTTTTGTTGCAAAAGTCGTTAATTTGTTTTATGTATTTGCTTTTGCTGTTGCTCTTGCCACATACACACATACATACATACATGTTGACCGTCAAATTCGCAGCTATCTCCAAATGTTTGTTGTTGTTGCTGCTAGATATTTGTTTTGATATGCCATAGACGCAAAGATAGGAAGTTTGATGCTGTTAGAAGAGCAATATGGCTGACGCACACTTCTGACTGCTTCTGATAGCAGAGGAAGTTCACTCGTTCGTGTGTACTACATAACCGGCGAATGACGAATATGCCTGGGCTATACCGTTTACCGGCTTCCGCAGCTCCATTAGTTATTGTTATTGTTTTTGCAAAGCCCAAGGCATTTGAACGAGTGCGAGAACATTTTCACGGAAAACTGGTCCAACTAATTTAGTAAATTAGTAAAATTCATAAAAATGGTGTTAAACGCTGCTTTAAAATGCAAATTGTGATCGTAAGGCACAAGTGTATTTGCAGTTTTTAGTTTTTTTTTTTGTGTTTAAGAGCGAGCAACTTTACCAAAAGTGTTATCAGTAGGGTCGGCGAGCCTAACCAAATATTTGCTCGGCGTGTCTCTAAATACTTATTTTGTGTTGTGTTAAAAACGATTAAATTGTGAGCACATAAAATGCCTATTAAATGGAAATTAGGTACATATGCAAATTCATACATACATGCTAAATATCAAAGAATAAATAATTGTAAGCAATGAAATATGTAAGCCTCACAGTGCGGCAATCGAAGTTATGCGAGGGCCGTATCAATTTTGCTGCTTATCGCTTCGTTTAAAACAATAAAATCCTCGGATTTTCTGTCAACCATGAAAAAATATCATTAATTAAAAATAAAGATTTATAAAGTGGCGAACACAACAATAACACTTTAATTTCTGTACATACATACAGTCACTCGCAGAAGTGTTCATAATTTAGTTTTTTTTCACAATATTCAAAATATTTTCCATCATAAATATTTTCGTTAATTTTTGTTTAAAATATAGTTCATTATATAACAAAGACTTTGCATCGAATGCACAAAAATTAATTAAACTTTAAAAAATTTTCATCTATGTATATATCAAACTCTTTATTAAGAATTTTTAGAAAACTTACGATTATGTAGTTTTGTAGCGTATTCAGTTTTAATATACATAACAAAGTGCAAGTTTCAGGTAGCTAACCTTGGATTTTTTAGAATGGAATAAAATGCGCTACAGTACAGCCTCGACAATAAAAATTCTCAAAAGCTAACGGTAATTTTTAACTACTTGAAACTTGGATTTTTAACTACTCGAATATTTTCTAAAAACTCGAAATAAAAAATTGCAAATTTTGTTGAAAATTTTTTAAAGTTTGATTAATTTTAGTGAATTTGGTACAAAGTACGCAACATTGATATATATGTTTTGTTTTAGAAAAACAAAAAGATTTATGATTTAAAATATTTTGAATACATAGATATTGTAAGAAAACTAAGTTATGAATAATTCTGTGAGTGACTGTATATACATACATATGTGGGTCATTCCATTGTGCCTGGTGTTATATTTGACCGCAGAATGTGATTACTTGTAACTTATACATATGTAACTATGTCGTCGGAGCTTATACAAAAATGATACTTTTAATACAGATAAATAACTAATGTACGAAATTCCTTATTATTAAAATAAATAAATATTAAAACAAGTTTTAAGGTTCTAAGTTGTAACTATTACACAGTGCGACAGTAAAATTTAGACACAAAAAAGTCAATATACTAGCGAAAATAGGGGAGTTTGATATTTCAAAGGTATTTTTAATTCAATGAATTATTAAAAAAATTTTGTGCAATGTAGGATAAAAATATGGGTATTAAAAAAATACTGTAGAATTGAAAAAAAGTAAATAAACTGGTTGGTGCACAAACACGGAGTAGTATTAAAAATGTCCTTTAAAAATTTTTCCGTTGACCATCCTTGAAAATTAGCAATTTTCATTTCATTTTTATTTTATTGAGTGTATAAATATTAGTACAATAAGATATAATCTTTTATGGTACAGCAAATATATTTTTCAATATATATTTTTCATAAAGTTACATATTAAAAACTAATATTTTGAATTTTGTTCTTTTAACTTTATTAGCTTAAAAATTTCCTATTCGTTCTTGTGACCCAATGTTTTTTTTAATTCTACAGGATTTTTGCTTACATCTGGTACCCAAATTTTAATTCTACATTGCACTGAATTTTTTAAAAGAATTTTTTTAATTAATCATTAATTTAATCATTAGTTAAAAAGTCCTTTAAAACAAATACTGGCGTCAGAGAGAAAAAACTGAAAACGTAGTTTTGCTATATGTGACCCCTAATTTGGTGACCTTATTAATTTTTTCAAGTGTTTTGAAAGTCTTTGATTTTTGTCGCACGGTGTTACATATGTATTTGCGTGAATGTGAGAGACTAAAAGTCCCTCTATTTTATTTTTGTGCATTCAAAGTCGGATTTTAACAAAAAAAAAAAAAAAAAAAAAAATTTCAAGCCATGGAATGACCCATGTACAAATGTATAAAAATCGTGACGCTAGTTGTTGCCCTACCCGCACGTATTGTCTCTTTCGTAATGTACAGCTAAAATTGCTATTCTTAAGTATTTGCGAGGTGTGCAGATAATTGAAAAAAAAAATAAAATAATTACTAAAATTCCATATCAGCGGCGTGCTTCCTTTAAAATTTCGTGCAAAGAGATAACATCGATTAATGCTAGTTTGAATCACAACTTTCAATTTAGTGCGATATCAATACTCAAACAATTTAGTAGGGGCCATTGTAATTAATCCAATTTTATAATAGTAATAAATGACAAACAACTATCTTTCAGTAGGTTTCACTTAAGATTACGCGATCGATTTTGGACTAATTCCTAACC